GAAACTTTTAGTCTGGTTGTCAAGCCGACAACAATACGACTTGTTCTAAGCCTGTCAGTCAGTAGAGGTTGGCAATTGCGACAATTGGATGTTAATAATTACTTTCTTCAGGGCCATCTTTCCAAAGATGTCTATATGGCCCAGCCTCCAGAATTTGTTGATAAAGACAATCCAACACATGTATACAAACTAAAGAAGGCTATATATGGACTCAAGCAGGCCCCACAGGCTTGGTACCTTGAACTTCGCCAATTCCTCATTGAGTCCGGGTTCACAAACTCTCATGCAGACACTTTTCTATTCATCCTTCACTCAGGTGACACTACTATATATCTGCTTGTTTATGTGGATGACATTATTATCAGAGGCACCAACACTAATATTATTCAGCGCTACATTGACCACATGGCACAAAGATTTTCAATCAAGGATCTTAGCACCTTGTCTTATTTTCTCAGCATTGAGGTTCTAACCACTGCATCTGGTCTGCTGCTTACTCAAAGGCGCTACATCCCTGATCTTCTTACCCGGAGAAAAATGACTGGTGCAAAACCTGTTGCTACACCACTTGTTACAGATGGAAATCTCACATTTCATTCAAGTACATCTCTAACAGACTGCACAGAATATAGAACAATTGTTGCCAGTCTACAGTATCTTTGCCTCACTCACCCAAACATAACATATGTTGTTAACAAGCTTTCTCAATTCATGCATCACCCGACGTCTGAACATTGGAATGTTGCAAAACAACTGATTCGATATCTATTTGGAACATTAACTCATGGATTATTCCTTCACAAGGCAAATCCACTTTCCCTTCATGCCTTCTCAGATGTTGATTGGGCTGGAAACAAAGATGACTATACCTCAACGAGTGTCTATATTGTCTATCTTGGTCGTCATCCTATTTCTTGGTCATTCAAAAAATAGCGTACAGTTGCTCGAACCTCCACGGAAGTTGTGTATCGATCAGTTGCCGCTAATACTTCTGAACTCAATTGGATTTGTTCCCTTCTCACAGAACTTGGCATCACTCTTCCTACACCGCATGTTATCTACTGCGACAATGTTGGTGCCACCTATCTCTATTCTAATCCAGCCTTTCCTTCGCGCATGAAACATGTGGCACTTGACTATCACTTTTTTCGGGGTCAAATTCAATCAGGTGCTCTTCGTGTTACTCATGTTTCCTCAGCAGATCAACTAGTCGACGCTCTTACCAAACAGCTTTCACGAAACTGATTCCAAGATTTAAGGGTCAAGATTGGTGTCTCCTCCGGAGCTCCATCTTGAGGGGGCATATTACATAATTAATTATAACAGATTTTCTTTATATTTTAAATTATTGTAATTAATTATAATATCCTTGTAATTAGTTGTAATCCCCCAACTCTAGGCTAGTTTCCTATTTCTGTGTACCCAATCTTATGTATATATATTCACTCTTAATCAATGGAAATGTCAAGCCATTGTTTCTCAATATTTTTCTCTCTATTCCAACAACACATACATGTAAAAATTACATTAGTAAGGAACAACATCATCATTAAAATCACCTAACCAAACCAGATCAGTAATTTCGAGATCCTAATGGCATGTACACAGTTTTGACATATAATAAGTTCGGTTTAGGTCGAGAATCCACTAAAAATGTAGTTTTGATATCAATAAATGTAATACCCTTAACCCGTAAGCGTACTCAATTACGAGTTAAAGATGTTATATTAACTTATAATCACTTACTAACAAAAACATCGGGTCAAATTAATAACTTTTTGAAACTTTTTCATTAATTCTCTTTTTCATATAATTTATAAATTGTATTACTTAAATTTTAATATTTTGATCTTAAAATCAAAATTCGATTTTAGGCAACACTGTGGCAGTGATCATATTCGATTAATTTCAAGACATTGAAATAAGTAAGAATGCACTCACCTTATTAGCCTCACTATCAAACCTTTTACGAAGATGTTCATTTTTAATCTTGAACTTTTTCATTCCTTTTCGATTTGCTTTGATCACAAGATTTATCGAAATCTAGACCACATCAAACAAATAACAATATATGCAAAGTATATGTTAGTATTAAACTAACATATTCATAATCCAATAATTATATCTATAAAATTGAGTCCATACTTATTCGAGATAAAAATGACTTCACGATTCCATATCAACTTCAATATTTCCAAAATAACATTTCAATTCCATAAGTATTCATATTTCTCACCAAGTCACTCAAATTCATACACCTTACAATTTAATCACCATTTATGAATTCTTTAATAATTCAGACTAACTTTTCAAATATACTCAAAATGGTCCTTCACCAATTTCACTTCATTTAAACCCAATACTAAAATTTCCAGCTTTGTAATAATATATTCAATCAAGTATATTCACATTTGAAAACTTGCAATTCAATCCTCAAAGTTTCGAATATTTTTTAACTAGTCAACAAGCTTAACCAAATTTGCCATTTGGTCCCAATCAACATTCCAACATAATTTACAACATGGCACACTCACAATTGAACATTTATACATCAATACAGTGAATTTCTAAAAACTTGCAAAATAGTCTCTTTACTTTCACCAAACTCCAAATTGACCCCAATCAACTTCTAAAACTTGTAAAGTCATTCCAATATCAAATATAAACCATAGGAAATTTTTGAATAATTTCCCCCTAATTGTTTCATCTTGGTTGAACCTATCAAGAACATTAGGGTTAAATTTTTATTCAACTTCAAGCAAGAATTCAAGATCCTATGATCAATTTCATGCATTTCCAATCATCTCAACGTCAAATTAAATCCAAATTGAACCAATCTTCAAGAAACTTAGCCACGGCCGAATCATATATAGGCATTTTTAGATGATTTTAATCATCACATAAGCTTGGAAATCATTCTACAACATTAATAACATAAAAATATCTTTTAATTCTTCAAAATTCAACATGTTCTTCATAAACCCTAATGAAATTCATCATCCAAGCATGTTTTTCATGAACCAATTATATCAAATGATAGAGAATTTCAAGCAGATTAATTCTCTGTCTAACACCTTAATCCAAAAATCAAAGGAAATAACTTAAAAATGGAAAAGAATTTTTTTTTCTCACCTTCAGTGGTGTTCAGGAAAACAAGGGAAAGAAGATGAACCAATTTTCTTGATTTTTCCATCTTTTATTAACCTTTACACATGTTATAATCTAATTAAATTCATTTTATACTAAAAGACCTTTTTACTCTTAAAATTCCATGATAACTATCAAATTACCATGCTACTTTTCCTTATCATCATTCAAAGCCAAATATGAACAAAATAAAATCCACTTTTCACCTTTATCCTTGAAATTTTTAAAAATTGCAATTTAATAACCAAATCCCACAATTTTGGTTTAACATGGAAAATTAATCTTAATTCCACTTATCCATGTTAAATTCATTGTTCTTAATTAAATAAATAATATTTATTACCCTTCTCCATCTTCCTTCAGAATTTCTCAAAATTTCGATTCGATCCGATTATCCAAATTTTTACTAGACTTTACTACTTAATAGCTCTTTGTACAAACTTCGAATCAAAATTCTGATTCCTACCAAAATGTTAATTATGGAGTAAACTATTTATTTACAAGCCAAAATACATAAATTTTAAAAATTACATTTTTGTCATTGAACTTTTCCAAATTCACAGTTTGGTCACTAAACTTTCAATTTTTATATTTTAGTCACTAACAAAAATTTTGGGTATTACAATTCTCCTCCCCTTAAAGAAATATTGTCCTCGAATTTTTCTTATGTTTAATAATGGATATTATTGTAATAATTATGAGTATTGTGGTCACAAATTTTTTAAATTTAAATAATTTATTGTAAAATATAATATTTTAAGGGTAAACTATATCAGATATCACTGAACTTTAGGTATTGTATCATTTATAACACTAAACTTTCAATTTTGCCAATTATATCATTGAATTTTGATTTTCATTTCAATTATACCACTGAACCGTTTGATCTTTAACAACACAATGATGTGATTGAGGGTTGCCAACGTGGTGAACGGCTATCGGCGTAGAAACCTCACCAAAATGGCATCTTTTTGGTCCTACTGTTAACGATGTAATAATCTAGTGGTATAATTGAAACAAAATTCAAAGTTTAATGCTATAACTGATAAAATTGAAAGTTCAGTGGTATAAATGATATACTGCCTAAATTTGATGGCATCCGATGTAGTTTACCTTAATTTAATTATCGTAATAGACTATTGAGTTTTTTTAAAATTTATGATAACATATTCATACGACGATGCTACCACTATATAGTAGTAGTTACTCTGCTCCACTGCATAATTACATAATCATGGTACTATTACATGATACATTATCAGATCATGTTAAAGTCTGCAAACAAGGATTGACCGAGTGGGGCCGGATGGGTAGTTGCCTATCATATTTTAAAATTATTATATATTTTAGATTTTTTTATATATTTTTTATTGGAAATTTATTTTCACCCAAATTTTATTAATTAAAGTTCGTTCTTCTAAAATTTTAAAAGTTTAAGTTTATCCCTAATATAAAATCTTACGTTCGTGGAGACATAGTTTTGCAGATTGAGCTGGTTTTTTATTCTTGTGAATGCAACAATTTTCTGTCAGACATGCCATGTAATAATCTTAAAAAACAAACAAGCAAGCATTTATTACTGAATTATTGAAGTGGTAAACAGTAAAAAGATAAATATTTTATCAACAAAGTTTTATCCATTTAAACCAGTTTGGTTCCAAGTTCCAACCCCAACACAGCAGTAAAATGACTAAAAGGGAACAATCTGCAGGTAAAGTTTTCTATGATTTACTGCCACTCATAGCTCCATAGTCGTAAAGGTGAAAAATAATTCTATCTCCAAAATGTTTTAATAGCTGCATCACTATTTTGCCTTGCTATCAAAGTTACAATATCAGCAATGTGGTGTTTTCGTATTCTATTTCTCTAATCTATAGAACGCAGGAATGAACCAATGGTGCAATGAAGAGATTCTTGAGCTTAAGGACTAACCCTCTTTGTGGCAGTAACTTGGATTATTAATCCATAAATCCGTTTTCGACGATATTCCCGACATGTATTTTCAGTTTACAGAGCATGAGAAGCATCTGTGCCATTGGATACAGATATCACCTATACAGTAACCCTCATTTGGAATGGCAGAATTTGCATGGCCACTCTCCATTTTAGCCCGAACACTAACCGTCTTTAATCGCTTTTGGTCGCTTTGAAATACATGGAGAGGCCATTTGGAATTAAACCAGCCGGTTACTGACATCTAAACACGAGCAATAGGAGAGAGGGGGGGGGTTAATCACATATGTTGGTGGGATTGCTACTGCTCTCTTGCTAACTTTCTTCTTCTCCTCCTCCTCTGTGACTGCTTCAATTAAGAATTTCACTTCATCATCAAGAAGTGATTGCAGTGAATCGCATTTCGACAAATGTTGAGTTTGTGCCTCCGCAGCAGCAGTCGGGGTTTCAGTACCGTGCAATATGGCAACACAAATAGAAAATGCTTGTAACACGAACAACTTTGCATGAAAATCGACAGCATACCCTCCTTCGGTGGCGCTCATGGTCAGTGCCGGTGTATTCTCTTTGGCACCCTACATAATAATTAAAGCTTAGTTATCGGAGATATTAATCACGTCTATATGAAAAACAAAATCCTTTCCTGAAGAAAAAGTTCAAAAGGCTGTTCACTGTCCACCAGTGGTCGATCTTCGGAACAATTTATAGCAGGGTTGCTGACAACAACAAGGGGACAAGCCATGTCCCAGCGGCCACAATCACAGCCTCCACCGTTCCTCCACCTATCGAGTAGCGGTGAGGACCTGAGGTCTCGGTACTAGGAAAGCCATGGTTTCCGGTAGGAATAACAACCTTCACCTTCTCTTGCCTCCTGTTATCTTGTATGTTCATTTTGCATTCGTCAATCACAGAGACATTCAGTAGGTTTAAATGCCTGTTATAACCTATTTTGTCCCCTCTTCTGTATTTCAAGCTCTCTCTTCTTAAACGGTACTTGAATGACTAGGGCGGCAATTTCATGGTTCGGATGCAGATTGGCAAGTAGCAATGGAGTTGATCCGTTTACAGATTCAACCTCATCGCTATCTGAAGCAAGATTTAAGTGATCTTTGAGCCTCACTGCATTAGAGCCATTGTCGGGTTCACAACATCCAGCATCCGAGCCTGGACTAGAACAGATTGAGCTTTTACAAACATCAGGCGATCCTTGGACAGAAACGCGCTGTCTCAGGTGTGCGATATCATACATAACAAACTCTGTAACCATTGAGTTTTCAATCATCCCTCCATCCTTAATTTCCGAGCAGAAACAGCAGGAGACTTGCATCTGAGCAAAAACCGGAGAATCTCGGCTACTATCACTCAACCGCCGCATACCAGCATTGCTCTTCTTTCTATTGCTGACGGCGTGAAAGGTGTATGCCCAATTGAAAGCGTTATCTTGCTTCCACTGTCTGGCCAAGAGAACAAGAAAAATGGAACCCTTTGTTTCACTCCCAACTTGAGACAACCATGTAGGTGAACTGGTGAGCTTGCCACCATGGAGTGGATGATATCTTTCTTGACAAAAGTGGTGTCCGGTTCAGAATTTCGAGGCGAACGTGAGAAGTCATGTAACAAAGATTTCCGAAGAATCCTATTTCTTCTCGTATTTTCCATCCCAACAGTTTTGACAGTCATCTTCTGCTGCATAACCCAAAGGACTTCGCAGAGACTTTGATTTCATGAACGGATCAAACATCTTTCTAATAGGACTAAATCTGGCTTTCGTGCTGGCTCCGGAAAATTGGTCACTTTCTGATGAAGAGGGTGAATGAGAAGCTTCCATCTTAGCAGATAGTGACTTATGAAGGTTCCAAACCGTGCCTTTTTCAACAATGTCATTACCATCACCTGAAGGATGGACAATCGGTTCACATCCGAAACTCCCGTTCCTCTTGTTATCATGCCCTGCAGTTTCTACCAACCATTTTTCTCTCTTTTCGTTATCTTTATTATCCGAACTTAGATTTCAATGAAGCCATCTGATGAGCATGACTCGAAATAAGGTTTGCTAATGGAAGCTGATTTCGAGTTCGAGCTAGATGACATCATCTAGTTCCTCTCTTCTGAGTTACGAAGAGAATCAACAATACTAAACTAATAAGAAGTGTCACTACTACGCGATAATTTGATTTTCCTCCTCCCCTCAACCGTGCCTGTTTTCTTCATTTTCCTAATCTCTTTCGAGCGTTGATATATCGAACCTCGCTTCAACTCAGCATTACCTTCTGCTTCAACAGATCCACACTGAATGCTTTTACAAGAAGCACTGCGGTAACGGCGAAAGCCGATTTCAGTAAACCTTTCCTTCACCCTCAATACATCCTCATTACGGCTCCATTTTCCTTTCGGATATCTCTTTTCAATGTTCAAACATTGTCAAGAAGACGGAAGAACGGTGTTAGAACTCAGATCTAATGTGCAGTTCTTCTCTAAATCCGAATCCATCTCTAGTCCTATTGCTTCATTTACAGTCCTGCAAGAAATGCCTGTCATATAAACACAGATTCAACACATTCAGACCAACAGAATCAATATCTTCAACAATTCAATTCCGCAAAAGCAATTAGTCCAAAAGAAGGACAAATAGATAACAGACAAAAATCATGAATGAGGGATTAAATAAGACCTTAAAAATCAAGCAAATACATTCTCAACAATAAGAACCTTGAATATGTAAAGCTTAGGTCTTTAAGGTTAAAATCCTGGGTTTGATCTCAAACAAGGCAACAAGGAATCTCGTGATCTCCATAAACATACAGGAGAAATTATTAAAGTGACAGGGAAACAATAATTAACAAAAGAAAAAAAACAGATACTTTATTCCACTTACATTTCAAAAGTGGACAAAATCAAAGAAAACCCAACCCCAAACAAACAGTATAAGCAGATGCAATGCATAATAATACTCTTTATATTCTTGAGCAGAAAGCAAAGATGAAAACACCAAAAAAAACCCTTTCTTTAAAGAAGAAGCAGACCAGAGACGACCCTCAAAGAGTACTTGAAATTGAAAAAGAAGATGATAAATGATATACAATCAAGTTGAGAAAGTTAATGGATAAAATCAAGGGATTTTGATGTTTGAATATTTCTTTGTAATTATCTGTAGTATCTGGCAGTTACTCAATTTATTTTGTTTCCTTCTTATTAGTAGTTAGTTTCCTTCTTTTATGCTCACATAATCTGTATATATACTACCTATATCAATAAGAACAATAAATCATATATTTCTTCATCCTATTATCTTCTCTATGGCATCAGAGTCACGGTTTGTTCTTTGATCTCCAACAAGCTTCTCATCCCCTAATTTCAATGGCTAATGAGAATAACCAAGTCATCATCCACAATGCCCAAGAACCCATAAAACCGCTAACCATGATCACTATCCAAAACTCCATTAAACTCACACCCATCAACTATCTTTCTTGGAAGACCCAAGTGGAAGCCATTCATAGGCTACGACTTACAAAAAATTCATTGATAGGTCTCACCCTGCTCCTCCACCTACCATCACCACCAATAATGTTATCTCTATTAACCCTGCATACAGACATGGCTATGTCAAGATAAACTATTATTTGGAGCACTTGTCGTCACTCTTTCACCCTCTTTAGTTCCTCTCATCACCCAATCTAAAACATCCTATGAAGCCTGACAAGTCCTTGCCAACACCTATGCTCGCTCATCTCGTGGCCATATCAAGCAACTCAAAGACCATCTTAAAAATATTACCAAAGGTTATCAATCCATTACAGACTACATGCAGTCAATTAAAATGTGGGCCGACGAACTTGCCACTCTCGGTAAGCCTCTTGACCATGAAGATCTAATCGAAAATGTACTTGAAGGCCTTGATGAAAATTATCAGTCTATCATTGATTTTGTCAATGGCCGTGATTCCACTATCTCTTTTGATGAACTCCATGAGAAACTCATCAATAAAGAACTGTCACTCCGCAACAAGACAAGGCCCTCACCTCTACCGACATCAGTTCATCTCACCAATGTTCGCTCTACTCATGGTCCGCTACCAATGGACTCCTCGGCTCCCTGGTTTCACATCCATACCCACTCAAGATATCACAAGAAGTTCTCCTAGCAACACTCGAGATAATCGTTCTCCTGCTCGTACATTCCTTGGTTTCTGCCAATGGTGTAGTACTCAAGGTCATGTAGTCTCCCGTTGTCCTTTCTTCAGACAACAGTTTCTGAATGCGCAACCACCTCCTCATCCTAACAACTCATCACAGTATCGACCACTGTCTCCTAGGCAATCTCAAGCAAAAGTTGCAACCACCCATCCCTCCAACACTACATGGCTACATGACAGTAGTGCCTCACATCATGTTACAACTGACCTCAACAATCTTTCCCTCCACGGTCCTTATGATGGCATAGATGAAATTATGATCGGCGATGGCTCTGGACTCCCCATATCCCACACTGGTTCCACTTCTCTTACCACTCCCTCTCACTCATTTTCCCTATCTAATGTTTTATGTGTCCCACCATAAAACGTAATCTTATTTCTATTTCTCAATTTTGCAAGTCCAACAATACTTCCATTGAGTTCTTACCCTCTTCTTTTCATGTGAAGGATCTTCGCACGGGGGCAATCCTTTTGCAGGGTCGAACTAAGGATGGTGTGTATGAATGATCGGTCTCCAATACTCAGTCACCTTTAATCGCCTTTTCCAGTGTCAAAACCACTTTGTCCGAGTGGCATCATAGGCTAGGTCATCATTCTTTGTCAATCTTCAAAAATATTATGTCTTCGTTTCATTTAGATGTCTCTCATCCTTCCAATTTCAATTTTAATTGCAATTCATGTCAATACAATAAAAGTCATAAATTACCATTCTCTACTTCTACTCTCTCCACTTCTTCACCACTTGAAATTATATTTACTGATATATAGACATTACCAGTCTACTCTATTGATAACTTCAAATACTATGTTATCTTTGTCAACCATTTTACCAAATATATTTGGCTTTATCTCCTCAAACACAAATCTGAAACGCATGATGTCTTTGTCTCTTCAAGGCCCTTATCGAAAAATTCTTTAATCGTCCAATCATAACTCTCTATTCTGATAATGGGGGAATATCAAGCTCTCTCTTCATTCTTAACTATCAATGGAGTCTCACATCTCGCTTCTTCACCTCACACTCCTGAACATAATGAGTACTCTGAATGTCGTCATCGTCATATTGTCGAAATGAGTCTTTTTCTCCTTACCCATGCATCCATGCCTCTATCATATTGGCCTTTTGCCTTTTCTACTGTCGTCTACATCATCAATCACCTTCCTACACCAACTTTAAACCACTTTTCACCATATCTCAAACTCTTTGGCACATCTCCCAACCACTCCAAACTTTGCAATTTTATATGTCTTTGCTATCCTTGGCTTCGCCCATACTCTTCCCACAAACTTGACTCTTGCTATTCTCCTTCCATCTTTGTCGAGTATTCCCCCACTCAAAGTGCCTATCTCTGTCTTGACACATCTACTACTCGTTTATACACTTCTCGACATGCGCTTTGTTGAGTATATTTTTCCTTTTGCCACTTCTCAAACTTCTCTTCCTCGTGCCACTCCATCCAACGTTTCTGAGTGGTGCTCTATGACTTTACTAGTCGTGACAACACCATCCTTGAATGTCAGCTCTGCTCCCCCAAAGAATCTGCCTGCTCCTACCTAGCTTAAAAT